TTATAATGAATGATAATAATGAATAATGAACTGACATCATTTCACCTCCCATCCACTTGTGTTTCTAATGTTGCTTCACAATCAGTGGAGGAAATAACAAGTATGGTCATATTTAATTTGCATGTCTATAGTTACAAAACTATTTTCTAAAAATGTTTCCACGAACGATGTGATCCGATTACAGAAACTAATCGTAGAGGAGGGGAATTTCCTAAAAATTAGCTCCGTGTATATAAACAGACACAATGTTGCATTCAGCTGAAACATCTGTTTGCTACACAAGCAATTAATTATAGAGATTTAATTGGCAGGGTATTAACTGCTAGATACTGCTATGGTTTTTCAACTTTAAAGTGCTTAGTCACTTTAGCAAGCATTTAAAGGAATTTGTTTGCATTCAAATGTGTCCCTGAGACTGTCAGATTTCCCAAGTTTGAAAGTTGTGCTTTACTGCTACAAACCTTTAGGTCACACTACATAGAGTATTGCAAGAAAGTGTAAAATGTAAGTGTAAAAACTGCATCTGTACCTTCAATGATTAAAAAAATAATTATCATTATTTCTGATTTTATTTCAAAAGTTATAAAATCACAATGACTTTCACACATAGGTCAAAGGGAACTAAAAGGTCGTACACCCGCCTTTTGTACAAACTAATAATTTATAATAAGGTAATGCAGAATAATAATGAGACATATGTTATGTGTCTTATGTTGAATTTTGTATAATTTACCCCATAGGTCAGTGCAATAGCTGAGATAAGGCAGGATTAAAGAAGAGTACAATAATTTAAGTAGTTTCGAAGATGGTTAATGTAATATAGAAATTCTTCTTCAGATTATTTTTATTACTCTTGAGATTTGTTATGATTACCGAACATTTACTTTGATATAGCATGTTTTGAAGGATGATGTCATCAATCCTGCAGCTTGTTTACAAGATATTTAACATACTTTGCTTTTACTCTGTTTCTTGAGCCGTTTCTATCAGCGAGCTTTCACTTACCTCTGAGGACGCTGTGTTGAATCTAAAGTAGGCTTACGCTAACTTTGACTTTTATATATAAAACTCTATTTTTAAAGTGCTAACACAGAACAGACTAATACTGAACTTTATCATCACTAAGTGAGTCTGAAGGTCCCAAAGTATGCAGAAGTAATTCTGGATTCCAGCTAATGTTTAATCTATGCTACCCTCTATTGGTGTAAGCCTGTTAATACAGGGTGCCTTGCTTCTGTTTGAGCATAAACAGAATATCTGCTCTGGTACTAGACAAGCATTTGGAAAACTTCCAAAATGTAAAATGATCTCATGTAAACTGAAAGGCTAATATGTTCTCAGAGCCACATCACCACACATAGAAGTAAATAAAGGAACCAAAGAGAAAGCTGACACAACTGGTTATGGCCTTAAAGCCTGTCAGACTGAGACAGATACACCTTACTCAAGTGGAAAAATATATACAACAGATTTGTTGAACAGACAAAGCTGTTGAGGCCAGTGTCAGATACAAAAGGAATGACTGCTGAGTATGAAAGGCTTATAAATACTCATCCAATGATGTTCAGCAACAGACTGTGAGAAATACTGTATATCAAACCCGAGGAAGAGCGCGCACATCTAACTCAACCCTTCAAATAATGCCAAGATAAGTCTTCCTCTTGCTATCCTACTGGGGGAACACACAATAAATCTACACTCACTGAAATTTGCAATGGTGACTGTAACTCACTTCTCTTCAAGAGCTCGAGCGCAGTCAAAATGCAGCTTCTTTTGATCATAAATTCAAGTCATAGTTCATCTCCGAGTCCTGCAGGCACTACAGTATGTGACTCTCCAGACGTGTTAGTTTTCTCTTTTCTTCTTCTAAAGTCTGTTTTTTTGCATGGTGATGCTGATGTACAGGCCCAACCTCGCTCACATATTGGGCTTTGGGTGCCTCTCGTCACTGCAGTGGTGAATTTAGAGACTGGCTATGAAGGTCAAAAGTGAGCCGGCCAGGCAGGTGCCATCAGCGTACTTTGGCTTTGCCTTAGAATGTGACAAATAAGTCACCATGTCAAAGGAAAACAGCAATCTTTCTCTTTTTAACCAAATAATGAGTTTGTCATAGGACCCAATCTGTCTGGTGAGTAAGTGGAGCTGAGCAGGAGCACAAGGACCTCTGCTTTCCCCTTGAATCGGCCTGAGCCTGCAAGTCTGACAGGCATATCACTTTCCAAATGTGAGGGATAATCATCCCACTAAATTTAGACTATTGATCAGGTGTGGATGTGTGCAGGAAATGTGGCCAGCCATATAACATGTTGCTTGAATTCTTTGTCCCACTTCAGAAAACACAGACGAACAGAAAAATGTTTTCCTGTCATTCCAGATACAGTACGACAAAAATAACTTACCAGCATGAAATCCATTTTTTCCCCGTTACTCCAACAGTTGATGAGACACACTATTAGAGAAGCACTCAATATGCCCTTGTGTACAGATTTTCTCCCTTAATTTTGAATTAAACTATGAAGTGTTTTAGAGTATTTCTATAAATATAAAAATGTTTTAAGCTTGTTTTAATTTTAATAATTCACCGTGTAGCCATGTTTTTAAAAGCTTTATTTCTTTACCTTTCAGCAACATGTTTTGATCAAACTATCAAGATGATTGTTATGATTTCTTTTCAGAAAGAAAGTTAATAAAGTTTCAATGGCTGTCTCCTACAGAAAGAGAAAGAGAGAGTCTGTGAGAACACTGTATGTGGATGTGTGTACACAGGTGGGTGTGCCTGTCCTGTGAATCCACACTTGCCTGCGGAGGTGGAGAATGTCGCTGTTGACTGTCACACTCTCACACTTTCCTGACACTTTTACACCAGCACCACAGGAGCACAGGGCGCCTCTCTTTCCGGCCATATTCAGATCACACACTTGCATCACAACTCCTTTTTTCCTGAAATTTTACTATGATGATTCGCATTATTCTGCTCTAAGCCAACACATTATAAGCAGTGTATTTTTATTTAGACTAATTATCATCTCTCCAGCCAGTCCTCTATTATTAAACCTCAACATGGGTCAACCAGATAACATCTAAAATCTAGCATCTAATCTATCATCATCAAGAAAGTGTGCAAATTATTCTTTATTTAGCTTTTTTCTAACAGTTAAACACAAGTGGTGTACTCGTTAACAGGGACAAGTTTCACTCAAATATGTATTCCTTGAATAATGTTTGTGTGAAATTTGAGCAAACTCGTGTGGAGCTCAGTCTGGATGTGAGAGCAGCAGGAAACAGGTGGAGCTGTCAGGACAGCGCTCATCTCCACAGATGTATACTTGAGAAAAGGAAAGACCTTCAAGCAGTGACCTTCAAGCACACCTGTTCACATATTTGTCAAATATAATCTAATTTGAGGTAACCAAGGCATATTTATAAACCCAAAAACTGCACCACACAGCTGCAATATTGAAGAAAAATAGAAGTCAAGCATACTCTGTCATTATACGGAAGAAGACACATTGCAGAAGACGATGATATGATATTAGGTTCAGTTCTTACCTGTGCTCCACATTGACTTCAGCTACTCCTGCTCTTAATGACCGGGTCCAGTCTCTAACACTAGCTAGGTAAAATGAGAAACAACTATTTCCTTTGTTGAATCCTTGTACAATTAAACTGATCTGGATTTTTGCAAGTAGAAGAAAAACAATTAAATTCTCATTATTTTGAAAAGATTCCCACGATCAGTGAAAGGAAACAGCATATACTTGAGTAATATGAAGGACATGTGGACATAGAGACCGCATACATACACGTTGCCTCTGTCACCTCCCCTCCACCTCTCTGCATCATACCTCCTCCCTCCCTCTTACTGTCCGCCCTGTGTGAAAACAAAGCGAGAGCAGGAGAGTACAGCAGCCTGATCTTGACAGACCTGGTGAGAGCAGTCGTGTCAGGGGAAGGAGCGAGCCGAACCAACAGCAGTGTTTAATAAAATCTGATGAAAAAAAGCAAAAATTCAGATATAAATAAAGCAGAGTGACGACATAACACACGAAGAAATTTAAAGGTAAATTCTATTCTGCAGTAAGCAGTCATCCACCACATAGGCCAACTGGAGCTAGCTTTAATGTGACATCAGCTGTACAGTGAATGTCCAACTCATTCAAAGCCTACTGTTTGATATGTCCTTACACAGCATCACTTCCTAGAGTGCCTCCAGTGATTAGTGTGCGAGTGTGTGTATACACAGAGTCACACACTCACATCCTAATAAGCAGGTACTGCAACCCCCACCTCCCCATGCATTCTGCAGAAAGATAAGGTTAGAAGGGGAAAGGACAGCAGTTTATAGATGTAAGCATTTTTTAGCACCCAGGGGCCTCGGGGTAGCGTTACAGAGTAACAGAGACTCACTGCGGACAAAAAACTGCCCCCGTCTCTCTCAGCAATAAACATGCCATTAAAAGTAGCACCAAAAACCATTAATGGCTATAGTGTCTCTATTTACTGTTAGGTTTCTGACACATGCACTGGATGCTGGATCGTATTTGTGGTTAATACTGTAAGCTGGTTCAAAGCCAGAGGGAAGGAGAGAAGGCAAGGCGGGTTAGGTTGCCAATTTTATTTCAACAATAAAGACAAACAGATGTCTGTGTGGAAAACCTCACTTCACAAGTTAAATTTTTGCTTTGTTTTGTTTGTTTGTTTTCTTTACCTAAATGATTTTTAATTGAACTTTTGACTCATTCCCATTCACTGCTTTCCCCTCAATGTATATCTGCAGTGGTTCTTCTTCTTCTTTACTAGCAGGGCCTAATTTTGCCCACACTTGTAAGTTAGTAAAGTTTTACTTGTATAACAACTTTCAATCTTAATATAATAAAGATATTCACAACAAAAAACTGTAGAACATAAGAACAAAAGCAAGTCTAAACAGATCCTCGCGGCCTTGAACCTGGGGAGGATTTAATCAGTGAAAAGTGAAAACAGCTGCAGAAGTGTGCATGGCAGTGATTTAAGCACATGTCAGGCTGAGTCCATCCTTGGTGACATTATGGCGAGCGTTGATGTGCTGGCAAAAAGGTTTTACTCATTTGGCAAAATGTACAGTCATGATTTACGTGAGCAAAGTTTTGTAGACTGGCCATTTAGAGAGGACTGCAACTGCACGCCTGAAAAGGTATGACGCCCATTGCAAGTAACTGAAATCTTGATGCTTTGGAACATGATTAGCTAGCTTGTTTCCATCATATTTGTTGTATCTACAATATGTTATGGATTTACACAGCGGTTACCTTTGGTCAAATCTATTTTCTAAAAGGTTGGTTTAACTGGGACTTCTTGGGAAAATAATATTTTTATTTAAATAGTTGAACTGTTTTCTAAATATGACTTAACATTTTGTACTGACAACAAGTATTTAAAGGTAATATGTAATTAAGTTTAAGTGTAGGTGGTTCAAACTGTACACAGGAGTATTTACACTCATCTCCATGAATCATAATTATAACTGATGATGATCATTGATATTCCACTACATACTTTTATGAAAGCCTGGCAGTGTGCAATTTATGGTTAGGGAGGTGCCAGATTCAGTTTCAAGTGTCCAGTGCACGGGTTTGTCCCGGTACCTTCTAGTCTTGTCATGATAAAAAGGCTGCTGACATCTTGCTTTATGAGCAACAACATGTGCCATGTTACCCTCTGAAGTCAAAAGGAGACCATCGTCAGGTTTCATTTTCAATGAAACTTATTCCTTTGCAAAAAAACTTCTTAATTCTTGGCCTGCCTGGCAACAAAAGGGTTCAGACAATATGGTCTCTCTTGCTTTTTACATTTGCAGATGGCCAAAGCTGGGTTTGTCCACTGCCCCAGTGAGAATGAGCCAGATGTTGCCTGCTGCTTCTTCTGTCTGCTCGAGCTCGAGGGCTGGGAACCAGATGATGATCCCTGGTAAGAAAAAATATACTACCCGGGGTGCAGCAGTTAAACATTTAATTTGTATCTACATTACTCAGACGTGTTACCTATATGCAGAAGACCAACGGCTACATGAAGTTGATAAGTCATGGCTCCTCATTATTGCCTAATCAGCATTATGTTTTTGTTTTTAATTGTGTTTTTGCTTATTATGTACATCTGACAAGGTCAGAACATGAGAGACGCTCTAAATGTGACTTCTTAACCATGAAGAAAGACTTCACCAAGCTAACAATGGCTGAATTCTGTCACCTGGAAAACAAAAGGCTAAAGATTTACTACGTAAGTGCCCATCAGTAGGCTGTGTGCAAAGACACTAACTCTTCCTCAATTCTTACTTTTTTTTTCTTTTTTTTTTTTCCCCTTTTCCAACATTCTCCCTTTAGAAAAAGGTCTGGCACAAGAAGATGGCTTTTTTGAGGGATGCCATAGACCATACAGTTGCGGAGCTTAAATCTAAGCTGGACTGATTCTATGCATTTATTCATTGCATCTTATTTTATTTCAATACCAGTCTTAAGTGTTAAACAAGAACCCGCAGCCTGACTCACTGGTCGGATTGGATAGCAGTTCATAAAATTCAGCCTTAGGCGAATGCGACACTTTCTTTACAGTACCGTCTTTGACCACAAGATGGTGCTTTTGCATTAAAGCTGCAGTTTTGCTATAACGCTGATACACTTTCTGAAATTTCCAATCTCTCATCAAAACCTTAACAAATGCACCTCACTCTGAAATGAAAGCGCACATTGAGCTGGATTACAATGCGGGCTATATTCTCTTTTTTTCAAACACTTACTTATCATCTCCCTGAACGTGCCACCATCCCTACCACCCCTCTTCAAACCTTGACCCTGGACAGATGGCCTGAAGCCCCTCCTTTTCAATACCAACTGTTGCCCCAGTAACATCTGTTACATATAGGGGGACAGTGCACCGAGGGCTTGCCAGGATACTTCTCTAACTCTGAGGGGGACTGAAATTCAAGAGATGCTGCAGCTGACAGTAGAAGGCGTGGGAACAATGGTTGCATGATAAGCACTTGACTGGGTTTGTTTTGCACTTAAAGAACAACGGTTTAACTCTGAAAATCATTTTAATTTTTCTCCTGTCTTTATGCAAGAGAAACTGATGCAGGGCTCTGTTTGTTTCTCACTGTGTTTTGTGGAAGGCTTGGTTGGATGACGTGAAGGATTAAGAGATGCTATCCCTTCCCCAACCTTCCACTGTTCTGGATTAATGTCTAATGTAACACTCTGGCCACTGAGCCCAGATCAGCTGCTTAATTCTCTCTTATCTGCTCACTGCAGAGCAAATTGAAGAGAATATTTTTAGACAAAACTAAAGTAAAATGCTCATAGGTGATGTAACATTTTTAATAAACTGTTCTGCTTTTATAATTTCCTCTGGTCTCTTTCTTGCAGTGCTGTTGTAAAATATTAACTCAAACTATATTTTGTTCTTTAAGCTAAATGCATTCATTTAAAAAAAGTTAAAGGATATGAAGGTGTATGTTGAGTTAGTATGGGGAAAGATCCAAACTTTTTACTGATGAGGTGTTTGGGTAAGTGGTGTGGTTTTGCGTGAATACATGGATCATAAGGGGGATGTGTGCAGTAATTGCTAATGTAACTCTAATCAGGGCTTATACCCACATCCTGTGTCAATCCACTTATTTATGTGTGCTCCAGAAAATGAACAAAGAGAATAGCTTGGTATGACTTCTGTCCTCAAGTGGCACAGATGTAACAGATGAGCTTATCTGTGGGAATGGAGTAAAATATTTTAAATTACTGCATCATAACTAAGCTGGGAAGATGCCCTTTCACTTTTTCCCATCCTGTTATTTAAGACCTGAATAAACCTAACAAATCACACTTTAAAACAACAGGAGTCCACAGAGCACTATGACACATGCCGATCTAATTCTAAACTTATTAATGACTGTGAGAAAGGATTGGTCATGAAATGGGTTTCTCTTTAATAAACTGTAAGCGGCAAGTGTAGCAGATGGACAAATTGACAGATGTTACTAACAGAAACTTTACAACCTGGGCTTTCCAGTCCGGCCCCATCTGTTGCTCCTGCAACCAGTGCCTCCCTCTACCCTCCTCCAACGTTTCTCATCAGCATCTATCACTGAATCTTCTCCTCTCATTCTCCATAGTGCCCAAAATGAATGACATCAGCATTTACCCCCTCATATGACCCGGTTTAACCCCTCATAAACAAAGGGCAAATTAAAAGATGTCATGAGCGCAATGGATACACTGAGAAAGGCAGGATGATGTTAATGTAACTTTTAAAGTCTCACGCTCTTGTCTCCGTCTGAAAAGTTCTGATGGGAATATTATAAAAAGGATAAATGACTGGCATGTAAAGAAGCCAGCTGACACAGAAGCTTAGACGCCATTGTGATTGTGGACCACAGTCTGTGAGTGTGTTTAAATGATGAATTTGCTGATAGACGGCCAGATTAAGGACAATGAGTTGCACTGTTCATTGTATTACAAAGGGGGGGGGGAATAAACATTCACTTCATTTTCATTTTTCATCAAATATTCTCTCATTTCTGGCTGCTTCTCCTCTAAGACACCGCAGCCCGTCTACCTTGGCTGTGTTTTGTGCCCTGCTCCAAAGGGACCTCCATCTGTCCCTACACTCAGCCCATTGTGGTGTCCCTAAGCCCAGAAACTTCCACAATGTAGTGGGCGTGTGCAGGGGGGCCAGGGTAAACACGACAGCATCCAGATCCCATTAGAAGCTCTTTAACTCTAACACCCTAACGCTCGGAGAGAAGTCTGGGAGGGGAAGGTCCACCCCTCATCCACTTGCACACAATGTCACCTTTACACCCACTTCCATAGGTAATGAACCTGGGAGCTACCCTCTTTCTTCTCCTCCTCCTCTCCTCCTCCCCCTCCATTTCTGAGTTCATGTTTCATATTTTAAAAAGAGCCCTTAAATTCTATTTTATTATTTTTTCCTGACATTAATATAAATATTTAAACTTTCAGTTGATGTTTTAGTGTTTTATCAGAGGGGAAAAAACATCATTGACTATTTATGACTGAAAGCTGTCATTTTAACAACACCTTACTTAGAATTTAGTTAATAAATGAAGTTAAACCTCTGGCTCAGTACATTTTTAAAAAATTATTTTACTCAGTCAGACCGTGCTCCATTTTCTCTTTCTGTCTTTGCCCACACCTTTTTTTTCCAGCCATCATCTTGGTCATCCTAGCTGCTCCTGAGTGTAGGGTGTTTCTGTTTTGGGGGTGCTCCACATCTCAACCAAGCCACCCATTGCCTTATGCACCCCACAGAAGCAAGCATGTGTGTTTATGCATGTGCGCTGAGGCCCAAGAGGAGGGAGAATCACTGTGTTCACCCTCAGCTTAAAGGCAGAGGGATTATCGGCACACAGACACTGATTAATAAAGCCTTCCAGCGTCCTATGGCCCCATTAATACAGTCTTAATCACAATGCTTTATCCCTCCATCTACCTCCTATGGATCAGGACCTTTTCATTTTACTGTGAGCAACTCTTGTTTAGCTAGCGGATTAGGCATGCTGTACACGAAAACAAGAAAATATAAGCAGAGAAGTGAATTAGAGGAAAAATTGTGCTTTATATAGACATAAAGCTATACATAGGCTCATGCTGTCAGCAACTACTGGGCTATATTCATATATCAATAAAAAGTACTAAAGTTGAGAAATCATTAGCTGAAGCATGAGACCCATAACCCCTGTGTGCTGATATCTGACATGACCTCACTCTCCCAGGGGATTGAGCTACAGGTTGTGTTCCCTTGCCTGTCGCCTCAGCCAAGATGGCATCACAGAGCATGTGTTCCCTTCCCATTACTAGACCCTCATCATCATGCCCTTATTATAGACAAGAGCCACTTGATGTGTGTGTGACGCCTGTGATATATGGTACTGTAAAGTTATGAACCTTTCTACTATTTTTTAAGTATTTTATTACAATAATTATTGGGGGGTTTTTCCATTTTAAAATAATTTGGGGTTTTTGCACAAATTAGCAAGAAAAATTTACATTTTAAAAGCTTATGGCACGTATATATTTCTGAAATTGCTGCATGAAAATCTCCGCCATGCTCCTCGCGCAAGACTGTCCTGTGTTTTCTAATCTTGTATCCAAAGTCAATTTATAGGGATTATGTCCATATCCACCCACTCATGTATTATTTGGACTATGGAGGATAAGTCGTAACAGCCCCCCCAGCACCACCACCACCACCAAAAAAAAAAGAACCACTACATTCTCTCTCTCACACGCACACACTGTTTTTGCTGTAGCCGAATAGCAAGGACACAAAGAGCATGCATCAGCTACTCTACGAGTACTTTCTCACACTGTCTGCCTGTGTGTAGAGCTATGTGTCATTCCTTCATCACGGCTGACACACAGCAGCAGAGGGGACAAACTTGCAATTGAGGATCAAGGACCTCGGTCACCTCTGCTGCCCTCTGCTCCTCTCTCCACTTCTCCACTCTTCCACAACACACTTACTTCCCTTTGCCTCTCCCATTTCTCTCTTTTATGCTCTCACTCTCTGCTCTTTCTCTCTTTCTCCCCAAATTGGCCCAGCTGTCCATCAGCCCCCCACCGTTCCCCCAGCTGTCTGACCTCCCCAAACGAGGAGCCCAACAACAATACAGGTCACAGGTCAAGAGAAAGAACAGGCTGCGTTCACAATAGACCAGTGGCGCCCACTAAAACAATCATTCCCTTTTCTTTTCCAGCCCTTCTCCACTGTTGCCAGGACTGGAAATGACAAATCTCTGGAGGGGTTGCTGAAGGAAACGAAGGGGGAGTCCTCTTAGAGAACAGCATCCAAAAGCACCTTCACCCTTTTTTTTTTCTTTTTTTTTTAACAATTGGCCAAAAGACCACAAGGATAAATACACTCATGCACTTCATCTTTGCACTCTGCCGCCCTGTTCTTTGTTTATTTCAAGAGTCATCATGTCCCTCAGCACAATCATGAAAGTCAAAACTGATACTCCGGTCATTAGTTGAGTGATATAAATGTTTTAGGAACTTTGCCAGCTTTACATTATCTCTGGATTGATGTATCCTTATTTCTGCTTTGCTGAACTTTTACCCATTTATGGCATTAGTATGTAGAGACTGCATTATTTTAATATTCATAAAAGCTAATCTTCTTAGCTACTATATAGCATCCTTCTTACACATGTGCTGTGTCTCAAAGAAAAGCCAGGCTAGTTTACCATTCAGTAAAACTGGATGAATTATTGGAAAATGAGTTCTTGCCCTTCAGTGTTTTGGCATGAGCTACATGGGAAAATGGGACACATGGGAGAGAAAGCCAACGATAGAGGCTCAGAGCTGTGACAGGTTCACCTGTTCCCCGGAGCAGTTTTCCCATGGCCCACAACAGCCTCCCGCCTGACCTGATAGAAACCCCGGAGCAAGCCTTTGAATGACATCATGCACAGACTCTTTCTCTCTCACACACACATGCACACACTC